AATATATATATAAACACACACACACACACACACATATATATATATATAAATATATAAATTACAAATTATAAATAGTAAATACATTACTTTGGGGAAAATTTAAAAATATATAAAAAAATATTATTTATATTATACTATTATTTAAAATTAAATTTTATATATGTATTATAAAAATAAAACCGTAAATAAAAAGGTAAAAATGTGTAGTATTTATAACCAACTGTATATAGTAACGATAGAAGTCTATGCAGTGTACACATTTAGATGTGTGTGTGTGTGTGTGTGTGTGTGTGTTTGATCTGGATCTTCTGTTGAGATGTGTGCAGTGTGTGTGTGTGTGAAGAACACATGACTGCAGGCATTAAATAATGCGCTAGGAATCAGAACACACACACACACACACATATATATGTATGAGTGTGCAGCTCTATGTGGGCGGCTGTAGATGTCAGATTCTTCTCAAAGCTGTTGGTACGGTGGCCAAGAAGTGCAAACCAGAACAACAATTCAGAAAACATTTTAACAAGTCAGAAAACACAATTACAGTGAGTAATCCCAAACCAATGGCGCTGTCTCAAACTATACCTACCTTTTCCGGTTTGTCTGATTTGTCGTTGTGTTTTCTGACTTGTTAATTTGTTTTTGGATTTGTCGTTGTGTTTTCTGACTTGCTATAATGTTTTCTGAATTGTTGTTGTGCTTTCTGAATTGTTATTTTGTTTTTTAGACTAGCATTTGTGTTTGTAATTTGTTATTTTGTTTTCAGAATTGTGATTTGTTTTGCCACACTCATGTTGTGTTTCCATGTTTTATGGGGACATCCCATAGGCGATGGGATATCGCTAACCCTAACCCTAACCCCAACCCTAACCCTAACCCTAACCCATAGGCGTAATGGTTTTTATACTGTACAAACTGTATATTCTATTGCCCTACCCTGAAGAGAAGAACCTGCAACGAGCAGAATTTTTTTTTTTATTAAAAACATCTTTTGAACAGTAGTGCAGGTGTATTGCTCATGTGTGTCTAAATCAAACCTTTATGCAGAGCCTCATTGGTCATGCGGTTGATGTAGCGCGAGCTGCTCTCGGGAACGAGCCACCGCATGACAGTGTTCACACACGACTTCCTGTAGGAGCTCCACACGCTTCCACTGCGGCAGAAACAAACACATGAGAACATCTGACAGACAGACAGCACGGGCCACGCATCCGAAGGTCATTACCTGGTCTGACCTTTGACCTCAGTGAGGTCACCGACACCGACTGTATGGCACGCTCCAGTGTTCAAATCCCAACTGACCTGCAGACTGGAGTGATACGACTTACACACACACACACACACACACACACACACACAGACAGAACTGATATGTGTGTGTTTGTGTATCTTTTATGATATTAGGATTTGTTCTGGATCTGTTCTGGAGTGTTTAATATGTAGTATATGTGAGGGATGATCAATCATTCGGTCATTATCGTGAAATAAAGCCAGTCAGAGTGAGCAGGATGTTGTTTATTTCAGATCACTCTCATCTGTCATTCCTGAACTCCTCATTCTGTTGTTCTGCCAGCATCCAGTGGCTGTTTTCGGGTCAGAATGAATCTGTGCTGTTCACCTGAGCATCATTCAGCTGTATGACAGGATGATTCGTCTGCGCAGTCATATGAACCGACTGCAGTTTCTTATGATCATTTTTTCATTTACATGTATGCATTTGACAGATTCAAAGCAGTTTAAATTGCATTTAAGTTGCACATTTGATCAGTTCTTTCTTTCCCTGGGAATTGAACCCATGACCTTGGTGTTGCGAGCCCCATGATGTACTGTTTGAGATACAGGAATTATTTTTTTGTCCTCTCTTTTGTATTGTATCATTGTTTATGATTTATATAATCTGCAGTGCATCAGGGGACACTGTCTTATCTTTTTTTGTCTTTCCTGAATTTAGTTTTTTGAATTTTATGTGCATTTTTCAAAAATATGACTGCAGTAAACAGTCAGAATTCAGATTCATGACAATTTTCCATCTTCTTATTTATTTATTTATTTATTTATTATGTCTCACGGAGACATGCAGTTTAAGAACTCTTTTTATCACTCTATAAATCAGAAAATACTGTCAGCAGACAGAAAACAAATACATTTTACCCATGTTTTGTTTTTAGGAATAAAATGTTATATAAATCAGTGTGAATAATATATGAACAAACCCTTCAGTAAAATCCTTCAGAATATAGAGAGGAATAAAACTCTAAGGTTTGGTGTTTGTAAGTGCTGCTGAAGTGGAGAAAAAACTAATTTTAAGAAAACGGCCTTTAAAGATATGCAATTTATATCTACAGATGTAAATAGATAAAGTGCAATAATAAAACCAGGTGAATGATATATGAACAAACCCTTCAGTAAAAACCTTCAGAATATAGAGAGGAATAAAACTCTAAGTTTTGGTGTATGTAAGTGATGCTGAAGTGGAGAAACAAACTCTTAAAGATATATACTGTAATTGAAATCTACCGGCGCAAATGGATTAAGTGCAATAAAATTAACACTTAAAAGAGTTTTTTCATGTTGCATGTGTTTTTATTTATTTTTTAACCTTTCCACCTTTTTCATCCTCTCTGCTATCGGTTTAGGACTTCTGTATGTAAATGTGCTTTATGATTTATTGACCTGTTCAGAAGCGAAACAAGTAACAAGACCTTCACTTTTGTTCCTGGTGTGTCGTCTGTAAAACTCTCAAATACTAGATCTAGTTCACTATGTTTGGTTTGGTTTGGCAGACTCTAATGGTTTATTTCCAGTGATCAGGAGTGTTTTTACAGTGAACACATGCAGTCAAATGAGTTCAGCATCTGCTGAAGGTCACCGTTTCTCTTGTTTAACTCACATTAGCTAATGTTTCATGTCAACAAGCCATTTAAAGAGATGTGACGTCGGTCAGGGATTGACCCTTTGCTTTTGTATTCTTTTTTACTCTTACTATTTATGTATAATTTATTTTTATTTCAGTTTTACTTTTCATTTAATTCCAGTTAATGGAATTTTAGTGCTTCAACTCAAGTTAATTAAGCAACTAACTTAAATTAGTTATATCACCGTATCGTTGCTTTTCCTCTTTATCACTAGAGAGTTTTGGAGGATGAAGACTTTAGTGTGTCATTTCTCTGCCTCCAGCTGTTGTTCATTGGTTCTCTGGTTCTTGTCGTTGCTCTAGAAAACACAGATGCTGTTGAGACGAGATCTACTTTAATGACCTGGTTTAATATTTCACAAATCACTTCAGATTCAGACTAACTGCAGCCTGATTTCACCTGATGTAGGTCATAAGTTACACACACACACTCATAAGTTACACACACACACACACTCACTCACACACACACACACACACACACACACACACACACACACTCACACGTTTCTGTTTCAGGGTCACAGATGCTTGAGTTAGCACAGAATATGTGTTGAAATTCATTTACAACTTTTATTTTATGACACAGCCATGCATATGATCTGCCACTTGATGAAATATTTGTACAGTTTGATGTCATTAATATCTTGGTCCATTTCCAGGAAGATGAAAACATTTACAGATGTTTAGATTTGAAATGTTTCTCACACACACTCACACACACACACACTCACACGTTTCTGTTTCAGGGTCACAGATGCTTGAGTTAGCACAGAATATGTGTTGAAATTCATTTACAACTTTTATTTTATGACACAGCCATGCATATGATCTGCCACTTGATGAAATATTTGTACAGTTTGATGTCATTAATATCTTGGTCCATTTCCAGGAAGATGAAAACATTTACAGATGTTTAGATTTGAAATGTTTATCTGTTTTGTCTCATGACCAGTGTTATTTTAGTATTATTTTTCTAGTTTTTGTTAATGTTTTAAATGAGATTTTATCATTCTATTTTCACTTTAATTTGAAAGTTTTAGTAATTTTGTTGTTTTACTAGTTTTTATAAATTTTGATTTAATTTTAGGTATTTTGCTACTTCAAATTAAACTAAATTTTGAATTGGTTTTTATTTTCTGTTTTCATTTTAATTTTAGTCAAAGTTTTAGTCATTTTGTTTTGTGTTTTTGACATTTTTATTAGTTTTTTTTTTAAATGTCTAAATTTTTATTTTAGTTTTAGTTATTTTAGTACTTTAAACTAATCTTTAAACTAGTCACTTTAAACTAAATGAAAAATGTTGCTAGTCCAAATAAAATAAGTATACAAGTTTATTTATATTTTATTTCAGTTAACATTTAAGTGATGAAAATATGTTTTTTTTAAATTGTTTTAGTTACAGTTTTTCTCGATTGCTTAAACACATTTCTTGAAACTATGCCTCGTATTCTCAAAACAGTAAACACAAATCCATACCGTCTCACCCAATTCCCCAAACATCCTATTTTCAGGTCAAAATGAAGCTCTACACTCAAAACCATTCACTCTTGCTGAAAAACCAAACGTTTCCCTCAGACATCACACACAAGCTTTCAAAAACACACACACTACAACATAGTATTACACACTGGTGCAATAAATTCAAAACAATATATCCAAAACTGGTAAGTTATGTTGCTTGTGGTTCTCCCCCTCAAAAACCTTTTCACATGAACACAAAAGACACAACCAATGTATACATAGGCACATTTTTATTCATTCATGTACTACACAGCACAAAAAAAATAAAAAATTCCCGTCTTTGTTCAGGGTCAGGCCAGAGAATCTCGTCCACATCACAGGCTATATTGGCCCTAGCCAGGCAGAGGGGGGAAAATCCTCTTGCATGCCTGATCCACCCCTGGCATGCATCTACTGATATGTCTAGGCAGGCTTCTTCCATGGCCTGGAGGAGGTGAGCACAGATATAAGGTTCTCGGTCATACACTTTCCACCGCCATGCCGAAAAAAACTCCTCTATCGGGTTTAGAAAGGGAGAGTATGCAGGCAGAAAGATGTTAGAAAACCTCGGGTTATTGGTAAACCAGTCACGAACCAGAGCAGCGCGATGGAAGCTGACATTATCCCAAACAACAATGTAACCACAAATCCATAACGTCTCACCCAATTCCCCAAACATCCTATTTTCAGGTCAAAATGAAGCTCTACACTCAAAACCATTCACTCTTGCTGAAAAACCAAACTTTCCCTCAGACATCACACACAAGCTTTCAAAAACACACACACTACAACATAGTATTACACACTGGGGCAATAAATTCAAAACAATATATCCAAAACTGGTAAGTTATGTTGCTTGTGGTTCTCCCCCTCAAAAACCTTTTCACATGAAACATGAACACACAACCAATGTATACATAGGCACATTTTTATTCATTCATGTACTACACAGCACAAAAAAAATAAAAAATTCCGCCTCAGCATCCCGTCTTTGTTCAGGGTCAGGCCAGAGAATCTCGTCCACATCACAGCTCAGTGAACTGATTCGGGCCCTTTAATCTATTTATTGAAGGATCTGATTGATGTGTGTTCAATTTTGACTCGTAGTGTTTCCACCTGGGTAATTGTTTGCTAATTGAGCTCAAGCTGTGCTGACTTGAGTGAACAGTATTGAATGCTAGTGCTTTCTAAATGACCACATGGTGTAAGCACTGAGAAATGTAGGGATTTGTGTGTAGAGTTTTGCAGTAACAGTTCACCAAATCTGACTCATGTGTTAAAGCAGGGGAATAGTGTTTATAGTTCAGCAAAATGGGTGTGCTTTTTGAAAAATGGCGTTATGGTTTTGAAATTTTAGTTCAAAAGCCTGGTTAAAGTGTTTTAGCAATCAAGAAAAACTGTAACGATAACGACACTGCTTCTGACTGGGACCCTTCTGGCCTGTGATGCATTCTAGGTAATGTAGTTCTTCTGCTCTCTCCTCAGTGTCGGATGCTGTGTAAGGATATCCCAGCTGAGACCATGTATGACGTGCTCCATGACATCGAGTATCGGCGGAAATGGGACGCAAATGTCATCGAGACGTTTGACATCGGCAAACTGACGGTCAACGCAGATGTGGGCTATTACTCCTGTAAGTTCTGCCACTGTGCAGAGTTAGCCTTTAAAATCAAAATATGCAATTTACTTTGTTTATGATTGAACATCGGCTGACTGATGGTTTCATGAGGTGTCGCTCATGCTAAGCGTTCATGCTTTTAGGGAAGTGTCCTAAACCGCTGAAGAACCGTGATGTCATTACCCTGCGCTCCTGGCTGCCGATGGGCAACGATTACATCATCATGAACTACTCCGTCAAACACGCTGTGAGTACTGCTGTGTTAGTTTAGTCTCGTTGATATACTATTATAGGTTATGTTAATAGTTTGAATTCGATTTCATTTTTATATTTTCTCTTTTTTTTATATATCTTTAATTTTTATTTGGTTTTAGTCAGTTTAGTAACAAATAATAATTAAAAAGCTAATTATTCTTATGCTTCCGGGTGCGTGGATCAGTGGGATTGGACTTGATTCACACGTGCTTCAGACATAAAAACATATTAAATATTGTATTTGTTTACAATTCTATGTGAACATTAACTGACATCAGAGAACTGTGATCATGAATTGATTCTTCTGTACGATCAGTGTTCAGCAGTGACGTGTTTGTGTGAGCATCAGGACAGTAATGATTTTGCTGCTAGCGATCTTCTGATCGTTACTAACGATGTGATGGTGGTCTGTGTTCACTGTAACAGCTGGAGCGTGTCACTGTGATCCTGTACAGATGTGTGCGTGCGTGTGTGTGTGATCTTGATTGATTGATTGACTGTGTTTCAGAAATATCCTCCTAAGAAGGATCTGGTGCGAGCTGTTTCCATCCAGACGGGATACCTGATCCAACACACCGGCCCCATCAGCTGCACCTTAACATACCTGGCACAGGTGGACCCGAGAGGTGACACACACACACACACACACACACACAAACAAACACACACACACACTCACTCACTCACTCACTCACACACACACACACACACACACACACACACA